AATTGTTCTTAACAGAACCAAGACATGCCAGTTAATGCAGATGAAGTACTCAAGAATGTTAAAGTGCCACTGGGAGGAGACCTCCTTGGACGAGAAAGAATTACTGGGGCCAAAAAGACTAGACTTGGGTGCGACAGTGCAGCAGAGAGATTTGAAAGTATTGTTGAGACACCTGCACTTTGGCATGCAAAACAATCCTTTCTAGGGGTTAGTTTTTTAATTATAACATAATCTGATTATTCCTTATTTTAAAAAAGATCGAATGACCTCGAATGTCCGTTCTTCCAGTTTTTACCTAAAAGAACACGAGGTACAATCTTAGAAAAACGTCAGTCTCTGTCCCTAGAATCTACACTGACAGGTTTAAGAACGTTTTTAATAACAGAATAATTTTTAGATATGATATGTAAATAGTTTTTTGAGTTTATATTGTAACTTAGGATATGTAATTTTATCTTAAGAAATAAAGATTATTATAATTATTGTTATTATTATTATTATTATTATTATTATTATTATTATTATTATTATTTTATTATTTTATTATTTTAACCATTGTCTTTTGGTTTTTTTATTCTGGTTTTGCCTCTGTTTGGTAAAAAGATACTTCAGTTAATGACTAAGTAACTTTATTCCCAATCAAAAATGAAAATAGCAGGATGGGTCCAAGGGACAGCTATTCAAAATATTTTAAAAATATTTCTTTACCTTCAATTATCTGCTCAGAATGCATGCAGGTGGTACTCTTTCAAGATTTAAATAATTTGCTTTTAACACAATCTCATTTCCAGAGGCCAAGGCAGCACTTTTTCGAATCTGAGTATTAGCCTGGTAGAGGTTTGAACTCACAACCTCCCACTTGACAAGCTGGCAGTCTTCCAGCTGTGCAAAGGTTTTCCTTGTCCAAAATTGAATTGTCATTAAGGTCAAAAAACATTTTCACCCTAAATTAAAATTTCTATAATTTAAAAACTAAAGAAATTCAACATGCAGTCCAGGTTGAAAGCAACCTGAATTTCCTTTCAACTATATAAACAACAGATATTTAATATAGTCAGACAGAGTTCACATATAAATCAAGTAGACAATTAATAAACATTGCTTATTCTTCTTATAGTATATCTGGGACCAACTTTACAAGCCAACTCCTGCAAGTGGTAGAAGAGACATTGGCACCCTGTATTACTTTAGGCAAACTTTCGGACTTGCTAATGTGCCACCAAGGGTTTAAGACAACTACCCAAGTTGTGAGTCACTGATGTTGTCGGCAACAAAGGCTTACATTTGTGCAGCATTCATGGTATGGGCAGGGACAACAGACACTGCTACCTCTCCATCATGGGTAAGCTCTGTTGCAAAGTAGAGAAGTTCAGCAGTCCAGTGGGAAAGCCTGCAAATTCAAATTGGCAAGTTTGTTGATGAATACGTGTTGACAGAGTTTGATATTGAAAGAGCCTGGCGGGAGCAGCTAGAACAACAATGCCAACAGAAAGAAAACCGAAGGAGATCTGCTGGCAATAATGATGAGATGACTGCAATTTCATCCCCTGCTCAGCAACCATACTCTTCTGGTATGTCTATAAACAATACTTTAACATACAGTACAATGCTGTGTGTGTGAAAATGAAGCATTAAACTACATTATTTCTATTAAAATTTTCAAATATTGGTATAAGGCACCAGGGTGCAAAGAAAGTCAGTTTTGTGGTTTGCCATCCAGGCAAGCTGTAGTTAAATAGAACATGTACTTGCCCAAGAGTCATTTTAACTATAGCCCAAAAATATATTTTGATGAGCAGGATCGATCGACTGATAACAGTTCTGTAATTTGAATTCTCCTAAAAATTTCACATACCCATCAGGCAAGTTAAGAAAAGAATTCACTTGCGCGATAGCAAAATCCACTAGCCATGGGCTATTGAAAGCGACTTTCTTTGCACGTTGGGCACCCCTAGTTATTATTAAGCTCTGTTAGTAAGAATAATAATTACGACTATCTTTCTGTCTTTATAAAAATATACAGCTCTGATCTTGTAAATGGACAGCTCACCTCAAAATCTACTTCACTGGACTGGATTAGTCAAGTGAAAATAGTGTTTTGCAACGTTATTTATATGTCAAGTAAAATTCATGTTTTTATGGTCATTATTCCGCAGGTTCTGTTGTCACTTTGCTGCAAAAATCTGAAGATTACAAAGTTCTAGCAGTTGGAAAAGTTGTTGAAGTTGATGCCCACATTTCTGTGCAGAGAAGCATGTTCCTGTCTTTGTAGCGTCTATTGAGGAATGTGCCTCTGCTATACTTGCACCTGGCAATGTTGTGTTTTGGCCCACAGATCTGCTTGCAGTGTACAGGTCTCCAACAATGGGAACTGCAGAAACATCACAGACATCCAATAGTAACCTCAACAGTAACATTTCTGACATCCCTCCTGGCAGTGAGGAAGATCGCTATCTCAATTATGGGTTGCAGGGTAATTCAACTGGGAATGATGCTCAGCATGCAGCTTAATGATACAGAGGGTGAGGGAGATGGAGAGCGCAGTCTAATTAACTGGAAGATGCTTCTGTTGTATTTTAGAAGTAGGCCAAGAGGGAAAAATATGCCTTTGAGGCAATGCGATTCATAACTTGTATCAAGGGTTTATACACAGAGAAGATTGCCCATAGAGTGTTACATGGCCAGTTTGTAAATCCAAAGGGAGGAGAAGGATCCAGTTATGCAAATGACTTAAAAATGGAACACCTGGTTGGAGACAACAAGGTCTCTCTTAGGGGACTGTGTGGAAACAAAACGCTGAAAGCTGTCCAAAGATGTTCTGCTGCAGCATATGGTCTTAAAGAATGTTGCACCCAGTATGACGATGAGTGTGGCATACACCCAGAGTCAACCAAGCACACTCATGCTTGTACCACGCAAGATGTCAACGCAATGTTAACTATCGTGCAACAGGCTAGACCTTTTCAGTACCAAAAAGGTAGAACACTTCATTCATTTCCAAATGTAACAAAGAGTCCTCTTGACCAGTTGGATGTAGCACTGCTTAACACCTGGCTGACAAACCACAAGCGCAAGCTTTTTTCTGGTGTCCATGACCGCAATGAGGAAGACAATGATGAGGAGGATTAATTGAATGATGGTGATGAAAACACACCAGAAGAAGATGATTTGGATGATTAATGTATCAAAGTGCTTTGCCTCAGTTATTTCATAAGGACAATATAAATTGTGACAATGCTCAGGCTATTAGTATGCAACCAACAGAAATTACAATGTGCCTGACTTCCTGTTAGCTTGGCAATCAACCAACCAATAAGAAAATGAATGCTTACTGAATGAAAGAAGTTATTGGTGGTTTAAGAAAATCATGGTGAAGTTTGTATTTTTTTAATTTATTATCGGTTTATGTTTCACCACTTTGCAAAACCTAGTATGTCCACTATACTCAGGAATGCACTGAGACAAACTCAAATCACAATCTGCATAGATTTGTTGCTCTTTCATAACAGTAAACAAATGTAGGTCTGGTCGCCTTTAGCTACATTTGAAATAATATATTTCTCTTGTTCAATCAACAGTTGAATTTATAATTGGCTAGGAGAGTCCATGAAACCTGACAGAAGCAAGAAAAGATAGTGATCACCCATCAGATACCACTTGTTTGCCCAGTTATTGTAATTATTTTCTAAGGATAAAATTTCACAAAAAGATTTCACTTCAAATCGTTGTAAAACCTTAGGTCTTCCTTTGGAATTTATAATCCTGTGTCAAAAATGGTTAACAATTAAAGGAAGTCATTGTCCTGCAATCACTGTTTCTCTTAACATTGTACATAAACTCAGTTAAGGAAAAAAAAGGGTTTGCTCCACCACAGTAGAAAAGAAGCTTAATGGATATGTCATTTTCAAACAAATGAAAGGGTTACTTTCACAAGAACCATGGTAGTGTGTTGGTGGAAAATGAAACCCACATAATATTTGATAATTTGCTTGATCAGTATCATATGACCACTCTTTTAAGTCTAATAAAGAAGTGTACAAACACATGAATCTGTGATAAGAAATACAAAAAAATGTACTCACTTCTCTTACCGAACAGATAAGCTTCAACTTACACAAAGTTAATTAGAGTACACATTTTACTGGTCATATTATAACCTGTCTGCAAATTAAATGGTCAGTACATTTTTGTTACTGGGTATAAACACAACAGATATAGAAGCCACGCTTGATGCAAAACAGCATGGGAAATTAATACTACACTCTGCTATCTGACTATTTTAAACCAATGATACAACTTGAGACTTTGTTTTTCACACTTTCTGAAGGAATTGTTTAACAATTTTCCACATTGAAATGGCATGACTTTGGCTAAAGATAGGAAGCCTACTTTCAATGTCTTCTGCTGAAGAGAATGTGTGTGCATTTTCAGCCACTTCACGAATTAACTTTATAGTAACACCACTGCTTAGGCTTGTACGCCCTACTGATGTCCTACCATGTCCAGGTAATGAGAGTCTAAATTTAACAAGTTCTTTATTCAGCTTGGCTATTTGCTCCATGTTTAGTTTGGAATAAGGATAAACATCTTCATTAGATAATGCAGGGGCTTCATCTGTCAAGGTGGGAGCCATTAAAGATGCAACATCAGAGAGCACACAGTCATCACAGCTACAAAGTTTCTCATGATAATCACAACATGCATGAGCTGTGTCAAGTGGCAGAGGGGAAAACCCAAAATACCCCATAATAATTTGTCTTTTACACTTCTTTGATTGCACATAATTCCTCATTACTGAAGACAAATGTTTTCTTGCCTTTGATGTATCGTATGAATTGTAGTAGACGTGGGCTTTTGAAGGAAGACCATGTCTACCGGCCCTACCGGCCTCCTGAAAGTACTCTTCCATTGTACATGACAGCCCTATATGAATTATTTGTCTCATGTGTTTTAAGTCCAGACCAACACCAAATGCGACTGTTGCAAAGGCAATCCTGAGTTTAGATTTGCCCAAGGTAAGGCCATCAATTATTCTTTCTTTTTCTTGAAGTGGGTATTGGGCGTGAAATTGAGTATATAACCTATTCTCGGCCTTGGGCAGGGCATCTATAGGTTCACACTGCTCTTTCCCCATTGCTCGGCTGAAAAAGGCATAACATGATGAAATGGTCTCTAATGTGCCAAAAACAAGAGTAAAAGGAAATTTTGTTCTCTCCTTCTTTAAGCTTTCCACCAAGGGGACCAATATTTCATTTAGTTCATCCTCTCCTCTGTCTGGTCTAGAGGATGACGAGAAATAAATATTTGGTCGGTCAGGGTTTCCAAGGATTTCAAGTGGATTAACCATGATGCCCAGGGACTCAATGATGTCAGTTCTGGTCTTTTTGGTAGCAGTGGCTGTGAGACCAAGCAATGGTACTTGTGGAAGAATGCTTCCTATTGTTGCCAGCTTCCCATAGGATGGTCTAAAATCCTTCCTCAAAAAAATTACCCGTACCAGTCTCTTAATAAGCCATAACGTTTTTGGATATCTTTCAGACTGGATACCTTTGAATATACGGGTAATGTGTTTTTCAAGAAAATCTCTTTATTCCCCTCTGTCTGTAGGTTTCATTTGGGTTGAAACACAGGAATAGCTATAGACCTTCTCCTTAACCATTCGAAAATCATTTCCCTCCATGGGGTTCAGATTGGTAGTGTTATTTCCTGGAACCATACAATGAAACATTTTAGAATAATCCAAACAAGTTTTTTTCTTTATTGCACAAATTCTGCATTTATTATTACTACTGCTTTAAACTGTGCTATCTGGAGTGGATATATTTGATTTCAGGTTTCAGGTTTTTTTAACGTAGGTTGATTCTCAATTTTTTTAGTTTTGTTGAATTAGGGCCATCCTCGGAGACTCAGGGGCAGATAGTGGGGACGACGGAAAGTCTAAACGGGCGGAAAAATGTGGCACGAAAAAAAGTAAAGAACGGCGAGAAGAGCCCCTGGGGACAATGTCTTACCAGACCAGTTCCAACCGGCCGCCGCCGCTCTGGCTTCTGATTGATGCCAGAAAACTTGTGTTTTTCTGGCACCAATCAGAAGGCAGAACGGCGGCGACCGTTTGGAACTGGTCTGGTAAGACATTGTCCCCAGGGGCTCTTCTCGCCGTTCTATACCTTTCTTCGTTCCATATATATTTTTCCGCCCTTTTAGACTTTCTCTCGCCCCCTTTATCTGCCCCTGGGTCTCCGAGGATGAATTAGGGCCAGGGGACAAAGAAAACTGCGAATCAACGTAGGTTAAAAAATTTAACCTGAAATCAAATTTGACCTGTAACATCATATTTATATATATGTTGTAATAATTTTTTATCTCAAAACATTGGCATACAATACCATACCCAACAACAAAAGAAAAAGAAAAATTACCTGAGATAAAAAAAATAAACCACAACATATACATGTAGCACTCACCAGTCAACAACGAGATGTGCTTCATCCACAACGATGGCTTTCATACCATTTTTAAACTCTGCAGTCTTCAGGAGCTTAATGACATTTTTGTTGCCTACAAGGGCTTCCGGGTGAGCAAAAATTAACTGAAACTCCTTCAGGTTTTCTATTGCACTGAGTGCCAATCCTTCTTGTTCTTCTTTTCTTTCTTCTTCTTCTCCTTCTATGTGATCACCTTTCAAAATACACGCTTTCAGACCACTCTGCTTTAA